GCCACTTCCGGCTTTTTCTGCTTATGTGGTGCTGAGGAATCGAACCCAGGGCCTTATGCATGCAAGGCAAGCGCTCTACTACTGAGCCACCTTCCCAGCTCCATTTTGTTTTTTTAAACTAGCAAACAAGACTTTAAAAAAAGTTTTAGGAAGGTCTGAACTTTGTACTTCTCCCTTTAGACTTTGGATCATATTTATCTGCTTTTCCCACATTAAAAGACAAACTAAGTTTCTAAGTCCGTAAGAAATTTTCCACTTCTCCAAGGGCAAGCTCTAATAACTCTCTAAAATTCTCCTTATTCAGAAAGAATGATCTCAGTTCATAGGCTTTCTAGACCTTTTGTTTGTTTGCTTGCTTTTGTCAAATATGGGGCTTGAACTCAGGGCCTGGGCACTGTTCCTGAGCTTTTTCCCACCAGGCTAGTCTTCTACCACTTTGAGTCACAGTGCAGCAACTTCCAGTTTTCTGATGGTTAATTGGAGTTAAGAGTCTCGTAGATTTTCCTGCTCAGACTGGCTTTGAACTGTGATCCTCCAATTTCAGCCTCTTGAGTAGCTAGGATTATAGGTCTGAGCCACCAGTACCTGGCTCTAGAACCATGGTAATTCTTGTTAACTGTAAAATTACTTGCAGCAATAAGTCAAGTTTTTCTAGCCATAAAGTATTTGAAATCAATCCTGGGGTTTCTGAATGACTTGCAATGCCCGGAGCCTCCAGCCATAGAGAGAATGGTGAGCTATAATACCAGTCTGATTTCTCTTTGTCCCAAGCATATTTTATTCACCAAACTCATGAACAAGAGAGATAAAACAGGAACCAATCAGTTGGATGAGATTGCTTTTTTTTTCCTCCCCAGGAGTAAAAGATACTAAATTACTTTACCAAAACTAGTGTAGAAAGTATTTTTCCTCAAACCTTTGATGGGGAAAACTTCTTTGTGCCCATAGGAGATCTGAGGAGTCTTGCTGGAACCCATGTTAAAGTCATCCTGTTTGTTTCTTTATTGGTAGCCTAACGTATGATCTTGTGTCTTTTTGTGGCTAAGTATGATTGACCTAACAGATGAATCATGACCTTCCTTTCTTTCAGAGGGTGTATTACCTCTCTTTGGAATTTTACATGGGCAGAACCTTGCAGAACACCATGATCAACCTTGGCCTGCAAAATGCCTGTGATGAAGCCATTTACCAGGTACAGTGCTCTTGTGTGTTTCGATCCCCCTCTCCCTTTCAATTCACTTCAGGAAACTTGAGGGCATAGTGCACACACATACACACACACACAAGTATGAGAAATTGCTTCTTTAGACATGGCTATTACAAACTATTAGAAATATTGTCACCTCCAATGTAAAGAACTGGTTATTATATACATGAGAATTTTTTTTCCCCATCAAAGTCTTGATCAACAATCAGATCCTGAACAAATGTTTAAAATTCTCTCCTATGAGAATTCCATACTTTGACCTTCTACTTTTTTTTTTTTTGGTCAGTTGTGGGGCTTGAACTCTGGGCCTGGGTGCTGTCTCTCAGCCCTTCAGCCCAAGGCGAGTGCTCTACCACTTGAGCCACAGCACCACTTCTGGTTTTCTGGTGGGTTATTGGAAATAAGAGTCTCATGGGCTTTCCTAACTGGGCTGGCTTTGAACCGTGATCCTCAGATCTCAGCATCCTGAATAGCTAGAATTACAGGTGTGAGCCACCACCGCCCGGCCTTTTATCTAACTTTCTAAGAAATGATTAGAGCTTGACAGCCCTATCTCAAGACAATATGTGACAATGATAAACTTTTAAAATTCTCTGGTCATGCTCCTCTGTTGCCTAATAATGTAACATTCACTTCCCCTTTCAAGCATCCCAGCCTCTGCTCTTCACCCCATTTGCTCATCTGTTTTTATGAATATATTTAAATTACTTCTGAAGTTATCTCCATACCAAAAACACATAGTCCTTAACCTTTTTGATGCAGTGGAAAGAGAATGTACATTTGCAAAGAGCAAGTTTCAATGAGAGGCTGTTCTGCCAGCTCCTTTCCCAGGATGTGGGTTTGTCCCTGTGGCCAATTGCTGTCACCCACCATATGGTGTGATAGGACATTTCCTGTGGAAGAACCATTTCCACTCCCCCCCTTCCCTTTTCTTTACTTACCTTAATTATAGACCTTCCCAGGAGCAGTGTAGAATAGGTGAGCCAAAGAGATTGCATCTCCTCAAGGCATGGACAGTAGTTTAGACTAACATCAGGAGAACTTTTAAAATTCTGAGTGTGGCTGGGCTCTGGTGACTCAGGCTTAGAGTCCTTAGCTACTCAGGAGGCTGAGATATGAGGATCCTTATCCAAAGCCAGCCTGGGCAGGAAGATCTGTGAGACTCTATCTCATTAACCACTAAAAAGCCAGAAGACGTGGCTCAAGTGGTAGAGTTCCAGCTTTGAGTAAAAAGCCCGAAGTTCAAGCCCCAATACTGGAACAAAAAAAAATCCTGTTGGTTACTAAGCAACCAACAAGGAGCTTACATCAGATTCTAGTAAGTTCTAGCCACTAGGGGGAAAAAATGCAAAAGTCTCTTTAATAATGAAATGAAGGAAAACCATTTTTGAACTCTTAGAAAATTTAATTACAAGACTTTGTATAAGAAAGCAAAGCAACTTTGAGTGTAAGGACTGGGTCAGCAGCCGCAAGAACTTACATTTTAGACATGTGCTTTTAATAAGTAAATAACAATTTCATTTTAAAAACTATCCAACATTAGCTGGGTGCCAGTGGCTCACGCCTGTAATCCTAGCTACTCAGGAGGCTGAGATCTGAGGATCACAGTTCAAAGCCAGCCCGGGCAGGAAAGACTGTGAGACTCCTATCTCCAATAAACCACCAGAAAACCAGAAGTGGCGCTGTGGCTCCAAGAGGTAGAATGCTCTCCTTGAGCTGAAGAGCAGAGACAGCGCCTAAGCCCAGAGTTCAAGCCCCACGACCGACCATAAAACAACAAACAAACAAACTATCCAACATTACAAGTTGTGTGACTTTCAGATAAAAACCAGGCATTTCATGGCAGATTTTCTTTCAGCCAAGTAGGACCTAGACAGTCACCTACTCCTCCTAGAATATGAGATATGTCTTATCTGTCCATCTGTTTCCTCATTGGAAGATTTAAAAAAAAAATCCAAAGTGATATCCAGGGACCACAGACCTCTGACAGAAGTTCTGATGCCACTAGTTCTGACTGTGATCCCCATCACTTTGGGGCAAAGGGCACATTGGCAATGAGTCCCATCCATCTCTCGGGCACATGGGCCTTCCATAGTCTCCTCCCCGCCCCACAGAGAAGCAAGGGATTCTAGCCCAGTGAAGTTGATCTGCTACACTGAGATTTTCCTGCTGGCTGGCTGTCCCCAGGTCTCAGGGGCCATGACTCACTAACTGGTTTGGGGATAACAACTTTTAACCCTACTGAGTAAATACGCTGTGATAATAAAAAGATGAACTTCAGTCCATTAGACAAGTCTGCTCTCATACTTTTGATAAGTTTCAAAATCTCTATTTTTACGGAGGCTTACATTGGGAGGACTTCAAGTTGAAGCCATCCCAAGCAAATAAAGTTCTCAAGACCCTCCTTCTCAAACCAGTTCTAGGTAAAGTGGCACACATCTGTTCTTCCAACTACATGAGAAGCTTAAGATAAAAGGATTATGTTTCCAGGCCAACCTGGACAGAAAAGTTTTTCCATTGAGTCTCCAGCTGAATGGAAAAAAAAAAATTGGTGAAGGTATTGCTTGCCTATCATTCCAGCCATGATGGAATGCAAAAGAATAGGAGGATCATGGTCCAGGTGAGTGCCCAAGTAGGAAGTGAGACCCTATCTCAAAAATATTCAGTACAGCGAGACGTGAGGCTCACACCTATAATCGTAAAGGCTTGGAAGATCAAATTCAAAGCTAGTTCCAACAGAAAATACCTTCCTAGCAAGCAAGAGTCCCTAAGTTCTTTGTTTTTTGCCAGTCCTGGGGCTTGCTAGGCAGGTATTCTTTCAATGAACCACATTTCTAGTCCTTTTTGAATTGGTGTGTATGTGTGTGTGTGTGTGTGTGTGTGTAGTATTGGGTCTTGAACTCAAGGTAGAGCTGATGCTCTACCACTTAGGCCATGTCCCCAGTTTGGCATTTTGCTGACTAGTTGGAGATGGAATATAGCATAGACTTTTCAGCTGGAGACTCAATGGAGAACTTTTCTGTCCAGGTTGGCCTGGAAACATAATCCTTCTATCTTGGTTTCTCATGTAGTTGGAAGTGCCTGGGCACTATCCCGGGTTTCTCAAGGCTATTTCTCTACCACTTGAGCCACAGCACCACTTCTGGCTTTTTCTGTTTATGTGGTAAACTGAGGAATGAAACCCAGGGCTTCATGCACGCTAGACAAACACTCTACTACTAAGCCATGCTCCCTGTCCTAGCCCCTAAGTTCTAAAGGAAAACAAAACAACACCCTCTCAGTTCTATTAATGTTAGCTTCACACACACACACACACACACACACACACACACACACACACACACAGCCTTACTTCTTTGTGTAATGTCATTTGGTTCACAACCCTAAATCAAGTAGGTACTTTTCTCCTCCATATGTTTAAATAATGGAAGGGGGAGGTACAGGGAAACATAGCAGCTCACTGAGGATGTAGCAGAGTCTGGGGTGGGCACCAAGAACCACACCCTTCTTGTTGTGCTGTGCCATTTTACATCCACACCTGCATTGGCAGCATCCCCATTGGGCATTCCAGGCTAGGATGTGCTGCAAGGGAGCTGATGCCTACAGTAATGGAGTTCATAGATGAGCCTGGTGCCTGTTTTGTTTTTTGCCAGTTCTGAGGCTTGAACTTAGGAAGTTTAGGAAGTGGCCTCCTGTGTGTTCTCACTCAGTGATGTTTTTCTTCCATTGTCAGCTTGGACTAGATATGGAGGAGTTAGAAGAAATTGAAGAAGATGCTGGACTTGGCAATGGAGGCCTTGGAAGGCTAGCTGGTAAGTGACATGGGGAACATTTTATATTGCCTGGCTGGTAGATGCTTATCAGGTGGCATGCATGACCATGCTTAAAAGTGCCATCTTCTTCTTAGAAGTGAAAGTTGTGGCCAATAGCAGAAGCCTTGACTTTTCATGGAAGGTACTTTGATACATTACACCAACCAGTAGAGAAGGGAACTTGAAGGAAAAAGACATTACTTAAAACCCTTCAAGATATTGCTCAAAACCCCAAAGTTAACCAGATCCTTCCTGTGTACTTCAGAGTTTCTGAAATCGCCCTTTTACTTCACTGTTATTTCTTGCATATTTTTGTAGCTATAGCCTAAGCTGTAGGTCTTGCCTTACACATTAACAATTTATGTTTTGATTGACTAGTGGTTAACGGACATACTAATTATGAATACATTAATTGTGGTATAACTGACATATAATTAATCTACCTTTGTGTGAATGCAACATAAATTCTTTGCTGTATCCAGAGAATGATTTTTCAGTAAATACAGAGGAAAATGCTAAAGAGATCATTCCAGCCTAATGATTTTAAAATTATGCATTCTGTCGATAGCAGTGTCTCATACCTATAATTTGATCTACTTAAAGGCAGAGATCAAATGAATCATAGCTTGAGACCAGACCAGGCAAAAAGTTCATGAAACCATATCTCAGCCCCAAGCTGGGCGTGGTGTTCCGTACCTATCATCCCAGCTATTCTGAATGCTAAAATTGGAAAGATGGCTGTTCCAGGTCTGTCTATAGGAGACCCATCTTAACAGAAAAAAATGTTGGATGTGGTAGTGTAAACCTGTTATCATAGCCATGACAAAAAGCATAAACCGAGGGACCCCAGTCCAGCCTCTGGAAGAGGCTGGTAGAAAAATCCAGACCAAATCAAGGGTGAAAGGTGTGGCTCAAGCAATCCAGCAGCGAGGCTGACCTGAGGTCATACTCTCCATTACCACTAAATAAATAAATAAATAATTGCATCCTTTTAACCAATTGCACATTCATTTCTTGTTCACAAGAAACCACATGGAAAAAATACACCACTTGCAATAAACAAAACATTTAAAGTAACCCAATCCTCAAAGAATAAAGTTGGCGAAGGGATGGGAAGGGGAAACAAAGGAGGAGGCTACAATGCTTGATAAGAAATGTACTCATTATCTTGCCCATGTAATTGTAACCCCTCTGTACAGTATTTTCACAATAAAAAAAGAATAAAAAAGTTGGCATATACACACTACTTTTCCTGAGTTGATCACCAAGTTTCAAAAGTCAAGTTGCTTTAAAATCCATATAATGTGACGCTACTGGAAATTGACCCTGAGTTTGATTGTGTCTTCCTTCTGTATCTAATTTAGCCTGTTTCTTGGACTCTATGGCCACCCTGGGCCTTGCAGCCTATGGTTACGGCATCCGATATGAGTATGGAATCTTTAATCAGAAGATTCGAGATGGATGGCAGGTGTGTGAACTGTGATTTCCAAGTTTGTCTTTGAATTACTTCTCTCCTTGTGCTCTGGACCATACTTTATAATTCATGGCTCTTTCTCACTCATTTCTCTAGTATTTAATTGACAGTAGCAAATTAATGCCCCATTGGGCAATAAGTTTCCTGATAGCAGACAGCCTTTGCATTTAGTCACAGCTCTACAACACTTAGCATGTGCCTGGCTGGCTGTTGGTCTCCTCCTTAACCTCCTTGACTTTGAATTTTGTTTGCAAAAGGAGGAACACAAGTCTGAATCATGATCTTTCTTACTATCAAGTTGATGGTAGCAAGCACGCTACCTTTTTTCTTTTGGCTAGTCCTGGGGCTTGAACTCAGGGCCTGGGCACTGTCCCTGAGCTTCTCTTGCTCAAGATTAGCACTCTACCACTTAAGCTACAGCACCACTTCTGACCTTTGCTGTTTATGTGGTACTGAGGAATGGACACAGTGCTTATGCATGCTAGGCAAGCACTCTACCACTAACCACATTCCCAGCCTAAATGAAACCATTATATAGGAGAGAAAAACGAAGTCTGTTTGGCGTAATTGAAGGGATGAAGTCAACCCAGCTCACATGTATCTGTTTCCAGATTTCCACATCCACGCAGTATTTTTGTCTTCATTTGAGTCTTACCCTCCTTCACATGCCTCTTTAATAAGATACATAAACCAAATTTCTTAATAAGATGGTATCAGGCAATCTTGTTAATGGTCATATCAAATAAATCCAGTATATATTTAATGTGTATACTTACAGTGTGCCACAGAAGTGTGTACAAGCCCATTCAGAAGGCTATAGTTCGATGTGTTTGTGTGTTTGTGCATGTGTGTTGGTACTGAACTCAGGGCTTTGTACTCTCACTTGTCTTTTTTGCTAAAGCTGGTGTACTGCCACTTGATACAGCTCCACTTCAGGCTTTTTGCTGGTTAATTTGAGTTAAAGTGTCAGACTTATCTGCCTAAGCTGGCTTCAAACCATGAACCTCAGATCTCACTCTCCTAATTAGCTACGCTTATAGGCATGAGCCACGGGCATCCAGCTTTTAGTGTGCCTTTTTTATATAGCAAAACTAGATTTTTTTTTTTTTTGCCAGTCCTGGGGCTTGAACACTGGGCCTGGGTGCTGTCCCTGAGCTTCTTTTGTTCAAGGCAAGGATTCTACCACTTGAGTCACAGCACCGCTTCTGGGTTTTGTGTGTGTATGTGTGTAGCTTATTAGAGATAAGAGTTTCATAGAGTTTCCTGCCCAGGCTGGTTTCGAAGTACAATCCTCAGATCTCAGCCTCCTGAGTAGCTAGGATTACAGGCATTTTCCACCAGCACCCAGCCAAACTATATTCTTAAATATTCCTATTATCACTTTTTTCATTTTTATTGTTTTTTTCTTTTTCATTAGTTTTATTATTAAGTAGTTATACAAAGAAGTTACAATTTCTTAAATCAGAATGTAACTTTTGTCTCTTGGAACTCTGTAATCCACAGTCAATTCTACTATGTAGATTGTTTTCCCTGGCCCTAATTGTGGGTTAGACTTGTTTGTCTTGTATACACCATAGACAAAAAGACATGGATTCAATTTCCAAAACCCCTGAGTTCTGTGTTTCTCTACAATAAAAGTCCAATTGCAGAGCACTCAGCGATCAGATGGGGGAGGTGGGCTGAAACTAATGCAGGGAAGGGAAGCAGACTTAATAGGAAGGAGTAAGTGCAGTTTCTGCACTGCCCCCACCAATACTTAGACACCCTGGGGCAAAGAAAGGAGGGGTTTCAAGATTTAGTGTGAAGTCTGAAGAGAAAGGCTCAGAAGAACATTAGAAATGCATTGTAAATGACATAAGCAAAATTTCATGTTTTGTTAAGGACCAGTGTTGTGTATCTTCATCTGCCCCTAAAAATATAAAAACTGAGAGGCCACAAGGTTAAGAAAAGCCCAGATCTAAGTGTATTTTGAGGTCTGATTTCAACTTATCACTCTTATTCAAGCTTGTTGTCTCGGTTAGGTCTCCTAACTTCTCAGAGCCTCAGTTTGCTCATCTGCAAAATGGAAATACCAACTTCACAGTATTAGTATGAAAAAATATATAGAATATCTGACACAGTAATAAGTACTCCATAAAATATTAATGTTGCCTAAAATGATAATTGAATAATGTGTTCTGTAATAATCATTGCTACTGCATTTTTGTGGTACTCTGCCACTTGGACCACGCCTCTAGCCCAGCTTTTTGTTTGTTAATTGAAGATGGAGTCTTCTGGACTTTTGTGCCCAGGCTACCTTCAAGCCTTGGTCATCCAGAACTCATCTTCCTGAATAGCCAGGATTATAGCCCTTTGTCACTGGTTCATGGATACTAATGCATTTGGGGCCAATTTTGATAAAAGAGGAACGTGTATATGTTACTTGGAAAAAATGAATACAATTGTATGGATACTGTGTTTTTATCTATAGGAGACCAGAAAGATAAAAAGTCCTGGGGAAAACAATATATCATAGCTTCAACAGTAATTATTTTTGGGACCTGGGTTATAAGTGATTTTTTTCTGTCTTCTATTTGTTCTTTTACATGTATCATATCACGTAAGAATTACATATTTTATAGTATGCAAGTTCAGAGGTGAAAGAATTGGTTCCTTTGACCACTGAAGTAACCTAGAGACCCATACTGAGAGTATATCTCAGCAGACTGGGTATAATGCAGGCTTTGCCACAACCCAACCAAGAGACACAAAGAATCCTTTGAAAGTACCAAAATACTTCAGGATTTCATTTTAGTTCTCTACTACTGTTGCATGAGAGATTGGAAAGAAATTCAGCAAATAAATCTATTAAAACATTTTCCTTCGATGGCATTTCTCTCCCATTTTATAAAATATCACTCATTATTAATTATACCTGCCTCCTCTAAACCAAGGAAATATGTATCCTGTTCTTAAAGAAAAAAAGCTAGGGGCTGGGAAGGTGGCTCAGTGATAGAGCGCTTGCCTTGCATGCATGAGGCCCTGGGTTCGATGCCTCAGCACCACATAAGCAAAAAGAAAAAAAAGCCGGAAGTGGCGCTGTGGCTCAAGTGGTAGAGCGCTAGCCTTGAGCTGAAGAGCTGAGGGACAGCGCCCAGGCCCAGAGTTCAGGCCCCCTGACCGGACCCCCCCAAAAAAAATTTAGAAAAAAATCTAGAGTGTGGTGGTTCTCACCTATAATCACAACTCGAGATTGGGAGGTTTGTTATTTGAGGCCAGCTCAGGCAACAAGTTAGCAAAACCTCATCTCAATAAAAAAGCCAGATAAGGTAGTTCACATCCATGACCCCAGTTCAGGGTCTCAGTCATATTCAGGTGTTCATGAGCCATCCAGCATTGTATCATCATTCCTAAGCAGTATCTTCTAAGATAAGGCTGACCTTTCTAAGAGGTAAGAATGAGAATGACATAAGCAAACTAACCATCCTGGGGGTGATCTCATAAGGAACACAGTTCTGTTTTGTAATATGTATACGTGTGTGTGTGTGTGTGTGTGTGTGTGTGTGTGTGTGTGTGTGTGTGTGTGTGTAATGTGTGTGTACTATCCTTTGAAGTTTTACTAATATATATTTACTTTTAAAGGAAACTCTTCCCAAATGTGTGTGTTTGATATTTATTTGCCTTGTTCTTGTTTGGGTCTTGATTGTTACGAACCAAAATTCATTTGACATTCAGGATCCCCTAACAGAAACTAATGTTTTAAGATTTTTATATATTAAATATTTTATTATAAATTTGACCTAAATATTTAGGAAATGCTAAAAATGTCAATTACACAAGTCCTTACCTTTTAAAGTATGTCTTCAAAATCTTCTTAAAATTGATGAAGGTAAACAAAGACCATGAAATGTACTAGTGATGTGTGCCTAATGAAATGTCCTTATTAAGTGTGATTTCTGAACATTGCATTTCCTACTGATTCTGTAGATGTGAGACTCTTGACTAAAAAAGCATGTAGGGCCCATCATGTCCAGGTCACTAATGATAAACATCCCTGAAAGGCATCTCTTCTTAGACCCAGGGATTCACAGATGCTATAACACGGGCTCTGGAACCCACAGACCTATAGTCAAATCCTAGCGCTACCATTTCCTGAGTGGTCTAGAGAAGTTACATTTCCTCATCTTTGAAAAGGGGGACTGTAGTTCCTTCCTGTAGGCTCACACTGGAAGAATCATATGACAATATATATAAAACATTTAGAGCAGTATTCGGAAGTATGGTGATTGTTAATTTAGTACTTAAGACAATAACAAAGAAAAGAACTATGATTGACAAAAGTAAAAGTGTAAATTCTAAGTCATGTGGTTCTGCAGGTAGAAGAGGCAGATGATTGGCTCCGGCATGGGAACCCTTGGGAGAAGGCCCGCCCAGAGTTCATGCTGCCAGTGCACTTTTACGGCAGAGTGGAGCACACGCAGACCGGGACCAAGTGGATTGACACCCAGGTATGCAGGTGTTCTCCTGGCCAGTGCTTTGGGAGAGCACAGAAGATGGTGCATTGAATGTGTCAAATATAGTACATTGTGTGTGTGTGTGTGTGTGAGAGAGAGAGAGAGAGAGAGAGAGGTACAAAACAATGTTGTGTGCCAACTAACAGGGTTTTTGTGACCATTCTGCCACTTTTATAAAAATCTACTCATTGCAAGGAACTGACACCAAGGAAGAAGTGGCTTCTGCAAGTCAAGTGACTTGACAGTCATTTTGCAATCTGTTTTATCAGAGATTAATCAGTTCTATAATACCTGACACGATATATGTGGCTTAACTCTTGGCTCTGGGTAGGTTGTAGAATGTTGGTTCTTTCCTGTATCACCTCTGTTTGGTTACCTCTAACATTTCCAAGACAAATACTTTAATATTGTAGTATTTATTTAAAGGAAGATCAAGGTTCTTATGCCTTATACAGTAAGAACAATAATGAAAATGTTAAGTAAGTACTTTCCATTAGACCACTTGTAGAAAAGTAGTATTGGGGTCTCTTCAAGTATACTCTCCAGGGACTGTCCTTTGGTGACCTCTTCCTTCCCAATAAATGAGCCCTATTAACTACTGGACTTACTGCTGGCCAACCAGTGAATCATAGTGCCTTGTTTAATAAGGATGGACTCAGGCTAGAAATGACTTATCTTGATCACTCTTTGAAACATGAAAAGAGAATAGTAAAGGCCAACTAAATGTGTTCTTATATGTGAGAGTTTAAAGTAACATTCAATCCTGTGATGTCAAAAGTGGTTGGTTTTTAGATTGTTCTCCATGAAAAAAAAATGCTGTATTTTATCCTAAAAGAACCATGACCCAGGGCTGGGAAGGTGGCTCAGTGGTAGAGCGCTTGCCTTGCATGCCTGAGGGCCTGGGTTCGATTCCTCAGCACCACATGAGCAAAAAAAATAAACAAGCCAGAAGTGGCACTGTGGCTCAAGTGGTAGAGAGCTAGCCTTGAGCTGAAGAGCTGAGGGACAGCACCCAGGCCAAGAGTTCAGGCCCCACGACCAGACCTCCCTGCCCCCCCCAAAAAAAAGATAAGCACTAGATTACAAATACCACCAAGAGAGTTGCAAATGAATCAGCATATAATCTACCCAAGGGATCCACAGAGCTTTGGTATTAAACTAATAAATACTTGGTTTAGAGTTCCCTAAAACTTGCCTGGTGTGACTGTCTGACATGATTCAGTTTACCATCAATCTTGGATGCATTCTCTTTATTCTGTGGGCCTCATGACTGAGCTAACAAGTACCAGTGGATGTTTTCATACTGAATCCAGAATTCAGTTGCAGAAAGTGTGTAGAGTCCACAGAGCCAGATAATGGGACAAAGGTAAAGCAAGCGGGCCAGCTGATGCAAGGCCTCCAGGACTGGGGTGCAGACATCTCCTGAATCCGCCCCACACTGGGAACTGGTAGATCAGAGTACATGAGGCCACTCCTGCTCTGGGCATGCTTAGGATGACTGCCAGAAAACTGAGCTATTTATTTCCTTCCTGTGCAGTTCAACTTTTCTGAGAAAAGAAAGGCCAGAGAATTAGAGGTGTGAGTACTATTCAGGGCAATGCCCATGGAGACAGAGGAGCAGGAGATGAGAAGTATTCAGACTATGACTTGGGTTTGTCCCAGCTGAAGGAGAAACAGAAAGGATCCTCAGTGCCTCCCTGTAGCACTGCTTTGAACAAGTGGCCAGACTGAAAGACCTGGATTAAAGTTTGCCCATTGGAAAAGCTCTAGTGTTCCAGCTAGGCTTAATGACCCAGGGATGAGCTTTTCAGGGACAAGCTCACTCTAAAGTGCCCTCAAAAGGGGATACAAGGTGCAACTTCTTAGGCTACCTCAGTAACATCTTAAGGGGCAGAGAGGCCAATCTTGATGAACCCAGACTCTGTCCCACTGGGCAAAGGATTTCTGATGGGTCACAATCTCTATGGCCTTTATTCTAAGAGGAAGAGATCCAAATGAGAACGATTTATTAGAAAGAGGTCACAATGATCATGAAAACATGACTGAATGTATATGACTGGTATGAGCTATAAGGCTTCATTCACTTGTAATTCAGTTATAATTTATAATTATAATTTATAACTGTTTATCATTTATAATTATAATGACAGGTTATAATTTATAATTCATTTATAATTCAAGTTCCAAGTGTGTGGGTGTACCATCAGTAGCCAGCTCCCTCCAGCTCACTCTCCTTCCTTACAGCTTGACTTCAACAAGGCAGGAGATAGAAATGATCATTTCTTACACATACTTTAAATGCACTCTGAAGCACAGTTCATCTTCCTACTCCATCTCTGTTGCAATGAGTGTCAGAGATAGAGCTGAATTTTTCCCAAGCTCACTAATTATCACTCAGCTAATTATCACCTGATTTGGCAGCAGATCACTAAAGGAATCACTAAAATAACCCTTTTCATGTAACATAAAAACCCTAGCATTTTAAATATCATATGTGATATATCTTCATAAATTTGCTGTTTGATTTTTTTAACCATATTTAGAATCAGATTATTGAGTAATCTACAAAGGACTTATCTAACTGATAGTTTGGGGTGGGTACTTAGTCACTGTTGTCATTTTGTATGAATGTCATATTTTATCATTCTTAGAACACTGGGGTAATCTGAAACAAGATAGAACTTTTTTTTTTTTTGGGTCCGGTCGTGGGGCCTGAACTCTGGGCCTGGGCGCTGTCCCTCAGCTCTTCAGCTCAAGGCTAGGGCTCTACCACTTGAGCCACAGCGCCACTTCTGGCTTTTTTCTTTTTGCTTATGTGGTGCTGAGGAATCGAACCCAGGGCCTCTTGCATGCAAGGCAAGCGCTTTACCACTGAGCCACCTTCCCAGCCCAAGATAGAACATTTTTATAACACTAGGACCACAGTGTTTCATTCCAGTGCCTCTGCAAGAGAAATGGGAGATCAACATAGAAATGCTACAAAGGACCAGCGATCTGATGTCTCCATTGGAGGAGGAAATCATAGGACCTCTGATTCCCCTTCCAGCCATCTGACTCACTTCCTCATCTACTGTTGCTAACTGCAACCTGGAACAGCACAAAAAGATACCAGAGCCAAAGAAATGAGAACAGTCACAGAGAGAGAAAGAAAGAGAGAGGGCACAGGGACCAGGGGTTTCTATGCTCACTGACTTCTGAACCCTGAGTTCCTGTAAGCAAGCTTGTTTATTAGGTTTGAGTACAGAGAAGGTTACTGTGGGTATACGCGGAGAACAAGGCATCTATACTGTTATTGTGGTCATAGAGACAAAACAGAGTTTGTATAAATAACTGACTCCCTTATTTTTTTGAGTGAAGACTACAACCCAGGCCTATTTCAAACATATATTCTACTTTAGCTTTCAAGGTCCAGTTCTCTCCAGCACTAAGGAAAGGGATGACATTCAGTCTCTTCACCCTCTCTAGAGCCATCGCTTTCAACTTTTCCATGTTCTCAGCATTCTGAGTACAGTTGAGGCAGCATTCCAACCTCACAACCCTTTCTAGGTCTCACTGCTCAGCGTCAGCGTTCCCTTAAATAATTTCAGTTGGTTGTGGAGCCCAGAATAGAACTCTATTGTCCTCTCCCTAAGAACCAATGAGCAAGGGCTTCTCTCTAATCCTGCAGGTGGTCCTGGCTCTGCCTTATGACACTCCTGTGCCTGGGTATATGAATAACACTGTGAACACCATGCGCCTCTGGTCTGCTCGAGCACCAAATGACTTTAACCTCAGCGACTGTGAGTAGATCATGGGCTCTGCCTTCTTTATGTGTGTATTTAGTCATTTTGATTGCTAGTTAGAACCAATTTGAGTTGGTGAGAAAAGCCTTTGAGTTTCTCATCAGAACTCTTCAGTGATGAAGTGTTTAGTCTGTTTGATGCAGACAGTGGGAGGATATTTTAAAGCAATCCATCCCCTGGCCCTCAGACTCTCCTGGGAAGGTTTGTCAAAAATCCTTTCAGTCCATTAGGAATTGTGGGAATTATATGGAGCATGACGTCAGATAGCTTATTCTCACCATGGGTGGCTTATCTCATTATTGCTTTTCTATCATTCCCTTCAGTCAATGTGGGAGACTACATTCAGGCTGTGCTGGACCGAAACCTGGCAGAGAACATCTCCCGTGTGCTCTACCCCAATGATAATGTGAGTCATCAACACATAAGTTTATCCCAACACAGCATTGTCAGCTGTCCTAGGAAACACACATGGAACACCGGGGTTTTCCTTTGTGTGCAGTGAAACTCCCATGTCCCTTCCCAACTGTCCAGACTCTCCTCCTAACCAAGCAAAAAACACAAATGGGTACAGTTGGAGTTAGAATTTTGCCTTTGATTAGCAACCTCTTCTCTAACTGGGGAGCTCTGTCAATGGATTTCAAAACAAACCCTGGATATGAAAGAAGACGTGAGCCACTGGTGCTGATTCCTTTGCAGACACCAGCCTCATCTGCAAGCTCAGAAATTCTGGAAGTTAGCTGGCACCAGTGGGGCAGTAAATCTAACTACTCAGGAGGCTGAGATCTAAGGATCTGAGGACTCTATCCACAATTAACCAGAAAAAATTCTAGAGTGGAGGCATGACTCAGTTGGTAGAGCACCAGCTGTGAGCAGAAAAAAAGCCAAGTGAGAACACCTAGCTCTGAGTTCTGGCCCCAATACCAGCACAAAAACAGGAAACTCTTGGAAATTTCTGCCCAGCTTCTTCCCTTGTGACAGCTTCCTGGTTCTGTCCCTTAGCTGGATGTGACCATAGTCCTTGTGTCAAATCAGGAATGGATACCTGCTGCTGCTGCCGCCCAATGCTTATACCTTTAAACTTATTACAAATATTATCCTCATTTTTAATCTAAAAATAGCTTAGCCACTTGTCATTTGTTAAACTTTGGAACTTTTTTTTTCCAAGTCTTTTTTTTTTCCAAGAGCATTCAAACACACCTGTGTTTTCACAAGAATGATATTTGACTCTACATATTATTTCATTATTTTTCACAGTAATTCATCACCCTCTAATCTCTAAAAGGTTACAGAGGTTTACCACTCTTTTTGTATCTTTTGGGCCATGGTCCCATTGTTGAACACGTAGTTTAGCTCTTTTTTAGCCATTACAAATAATTTTCTATTTTATTAGCGTATTATTAGTTGTACAGAGGGATTTCATTGTTATCTTTCCATACGTGCACCAAATTTGCTTGCTCTACCTCTGTTCTGTTTCTGATCCATTCCCCCTCTTTTTTCTTTACTGTTTTAACGGGTCTCATTATTCTGTTTTCATATATACTAATAAAAAACAACTGATCACATTTACCCACACCTCCCGCCCCCCACCTCCCTTCATTTTGATGGGACTTAGGGAGAGAGTAAAGTCCTTCAGCACTCAGCCTTCAGTCTTTCCCCAGATTCCAGGGGGCTTTGTCCTTGCCAGTCCCTAAGTAGGAAATGCTAATCACACTTGGTCCCTGCCTCCATTGTGAACCACCCTTTCATGGTATCCCTCTGGCTTGAAGTTTTTTGAAGGGAAGGAGCTAAGACTGAAGCAGGAGTACTTTGTGGTGGCTGCAACCTTGCAGGATGTGATTCGGCGGTTCAAAGCCTCCAAATTTGGCTCCAGTGATGGTGTAGGAACCGTGTTTGATGCCTTTCCAGACCAGGTGGGTCCTCAGCCTGTGGATGCAGGGCGGGCTCCATGGAGGGACCTGGATTTCCCATCTGATCTACTTTGTTCCTTCTCTGAGTGCTGAAAATGTTGAGTAGGAACAATGCACACCTCAGCCACAGCAGGCAGGCTTTTTTATTTAGCTCTGTCTCCTCTGGACACGTGTGCAGACCAGAAGGCCGCCCGGGCCCTCAGTGAGTCCATTTCACATGATGTCTCTTCTCACACAGGTGGCCATCCAACTGAACGACACCCACCCGGCGCTAGCCATTCCTGAGCTCATGAGGGTCTTTGTGGATATTGAAAAATTGCCCTGGTCCAAGGTCTGGCTTCTCTTACTTTTAATTAACTAGATTGAATTAATTACTCTAATTTAACTAGGATTGGAGGATAGCCAAAAGCTCTCTTTTTCAGCTTTTCAGAATATGTTACTGTTGCTTCCTTCTAAGATTTAAGGAAAATGTGTCTCCAACGTGGACATGCCTCTGTTCTTACCCCTCCATGGGGAATAAGACTTTTAAATATTGGCCCATATTTCTGAGTTCTGCAAGATATCTAACAACAGTAGATGTTTGAAATTAAGGTCTTGGGGTTGAAGGTGTGGCTTAGTTGATAGTGCATTAGTCAATGAAAGAGGCAGGTAGGAACCAAGTTTGAGTCCCAGATTCAGACCTGAAATTAAGTTCTTCAACCTTAAAAACAGCTAATTAATTAAAATATTTTCTGGAAGCCAGCATTTTATTTTTAAATTTTATTTATTTATTTTGTCGGTCATGGGGCTTGAACTCTGGACCTGACCTGGCCACTGTCCCTTAGCTCTTCAGCTAGCAGTATACCACTTGAGCCACAGTGCCACTTCCAGTTTTCTGGTGGTTTATTGGAGATGTGTTTCACCAACTTTCCTGCCCAGATTGGCTTTGAACCGTGATCCTCAGATCTCAGCCTCCTTAGTAACTAGGATTATAGGCATGAGCCCAGTGCCTGGCTTGGAAGCCAACATTTTAAATATACTTTGTTTCTGCTGAGTATGAAGTTTTTATTCCTCAACACTTGTGCTTATGGTATTTTGCAAATAAAAGATGTGTGATCAGAGGTGGTTCAGGTGATTGAGCACCAGCCCAACAGAAAAGGCGTGTTAAGATCACAAAGGCATGTCAGAATAGTTATCATTCAAATAGATGTGTAAGCAAAGCTTTACAAGTAGATTTTTTTCCTCTTAAAAAAAAAAAAAGGAAGCCAGACACCCAGTGGCTCAAGCCTGTAATCCTAACTACTTAAGGAGGCTGAGATCTGAAGATTAATTAAAAGCCAGCCTGGGCAGAGAAGTCTGAGAGACTCTGATCTCCAATAAACCAGCTCTAATCATGAGTGGAAAAAGCTAAGCAAGAACAATAGGCCCTAAAGCCTTGATTTCAAGTCCCAGTACGGCATACAAATACACATTAAAAAATAAATGTTCTTATTCATCTGGACATTCAGGGCCCTCATGGAATTAAGTGACTGGATGCATTCTCAAGTGGCCCACAGCTTGTGTGGTAATTGCGCCCTGCTTGGCGGTAACTGATCTACCCCTTCCCACAGGCATGGGAGATAACCAAGAAGACCTTCGCCTATACCAACCACACAGTGCTCCCAGAAGCCCTGGAGCGCTGGCCAGTGGAGCTGGTGGAGAAGTTGCTTCCTCGACATTTGCAAATCATTTATGAGATAAATCAGAAGCATTTAGATGTAAGTCATTTTAAGAGATTCTTAGCCCTTTTAAGAATAAGGTTTTATCATGTCGGGGGAAAACAGGGGTTCCTCTACCCATATATCTTTCAACTGATAAAGAATACTCTACCCAGTAGAGCTCTGCTAAATGTCATGAAAGTGCTAGAATCGAGGGATGGCTTCTCTCCCCATGGCCACTTCAACACCTCTTTGTAAAGATTTTGCTTGAGCCATGAGTGACACCCCAATATTGTTTTAAACCTCAGTGACCAGGAAAGTCTTTCTCTTCCTTTGGCTAGAGAATCGTCGCTTTGTTTCCTAAAGATGTCGACCGTATAAGAAGGATGTCCCTGATAGAAGAAGAAGGAGGCAAAAGAATCAACATGGCCCATCTCTGCATTGTGGGCTGCCACGCTGTGAATGGCGTGGCTAAGATCCACTCAGACATTGTGAAGACCAAAGTGTGAGCTCCTCCCCCCCCCCCCCCGTCTGACTCAGATCCATTAAGGGCAGGATGGGAGTGAATTCAAGGGTGTGCTTCTGGATGACGGAAAGTCCTTTTTAAAGTTTTCTTTTTTCTGTTATAGATAGAACTCTTCAAAAAAGAAAAAATGGCTAGGAATGTGACTTAGTGGCATATTGCTTGCCTAGCCTGCATGAAGCCCTGAGTTCAATTCCTCAGGACCACATAAACAAGAAAAAGCCAGCAGTGGCACTATGGCTCCAGTGGTAGAGTGCTAGCCTTGAGCAAAACAAAACTCAGTTGGTCCAGGCCCTGAATTCAAGCCCTAGGACTGGCAAAAATAAAAGATGCCATCCTGTTTGAATTCTCTTAATTGTAGTTAGGATCCAAAAAAGAAGTAAAAATCCTGGTATATTTGTCAGTGCCATGATGTCACATGGGGTGACTAGATTTGGGATTTCTGAATTATAACTGTTTGGAATTGTTAATGACCTTCTATGCAGAATGACAGCGCTATCTGTGGCCTTCATTCACTTTTATTTAAACTTCCTAAGCCTACACTTGGCATCGTGAATGAAATTCTGAACTTTACCCTGCAGACAAGACTTTGCCATTTTGGCCACATTCAGTGATTGTCACTTCCATCTCCAGATTCAAGGACTTTAGTGAGCTGGAACCAGACAAGTTTCAGAATAAAACCAATGGGATCACTCCAAGGCGCTGGCTCTTACTCTGCAACCCGGGGCTGGCAGAGCTTATAGCAGAGGTAATGCAAGTGCTGAGCTAGGGAGGCCTGGCTGCATTGGGAAGGGGACATGAGTGCACTCAGAATTTGCAGACTGAACCTATAGGAGGGTGCAACTTGTACTGACACACACGGTTCCATACTGGTTTGATTCTCTGCTGTAGCCAGCTTGAAATTCACTATTTGCTTGTTTGTTTCATGTTGCAATTGGAGTTTAAATTCAAGGTTTTATATTTTCTTTTTTTTCTTTCTTTTGTTTTCTTTTTTTTTTCTTTCTTTATTTTTGGTTGTAGGGCTTGAACTCTGGGTCTGGGCGCAGTCCCTCAGCTCTTCAGCCCAAGGCTACTGCTCTACCACTTGAGCCACAACTCCATTTCCAGTTTTCTGGTGGTTTATTGGAGATAAGAGTCTCATGGACTTTCCTGCCTGGGCTGGCTTTGAACTGTGATCCACAGATCTCAGCTTCCTTAGTGGCTAGGGTTATAGGCATAAGCCACCTGGCTTAAGGTCTTACATTTTCTAGGCAAGTGTTCTACCACTTGAGCCAGGCCTCTATCCCTTTTGCTTTTAGTTCGTTTTTCAGATAAAATCTCATGCTTTCTATCCCAATTAATCTTGGACCCTGTTTCTCCTGCTTCTGCCACCCAAGTACCTGGGACTAGAGGCATGGGCTCTCTGCCTGCCTTGAAGTTCTTATTCTTGGGTGTGCCGGTACTGGGGTTGAACTCAAGGTCTAGAGCTCTCACTTGCCTTTTCTTGTTCAAGACTGGTGTTTGACCAACTAAGCCACACCTCCAATTCCAGCTCTTTTGCTGATTTATTAGATGTAAGAGTATCAGGGAGTTTTCTGTGTGGGCTGACTTCAAACTATGCTCCTCAGATCTCATGTTCCTGAGTAGTTAGGATTACAGGCATGAGCCATCAGTGCTGGGTGGATTTTTTTTTTTTTTTTGGCAATGTCAGACATTCCTTTACTTTCCTCTAGTTTTCCCCTTTGGAAATCCTTAATTTGAGTCCTTAATTCTTAGTAAGAGTCCTCCAAATTATGTAGCTGGTTGTGGCTCATGGTCATTGATAACAAAGGCTCAGACACAGAGCCCAGGTGACAGAACTTGGGTTTTTGGTCATTCTTTCAAGGAGATCTCGATCCTTTCAATCCATTGAGACTCCATTTAAGACACCAGCCAGAGGTGTTATGCTCACGGGGGCCTCTCAGGAGGTCTTTTCTGGGAGTGCACCCATGCAGTGAACTGTGTGGAATGGGAACCATGCTGATGTAGATGAGTGAGAACCACCCACCACCGACTGATGGACATTGCTCCGTTGAGCTTGTCATCACATGATTAAAAGTCACCTCTCTCTTTATATTGAAAGAAAATTGGAGAAGACTATGTGAAAGACCTGAGCCAGCTAGTGAAGCTGCATAGCTTCTTGGGTGATGACATCTTCCTCCGGGAAATCGCCAATATAAAGCAGGTGAGTCTATCAGCAGCTACACCTCACCTGCTCACTGGCTTGGAGGGTCCATGTTCTGACTTTTGCAGATAGACCACTCAGCATCTAGATCAGAAGGGCACTGGCCCCATGATCTTGTCTCCACAGGAGAATAAGCTGAAGTTTTCTCAGTACCTGGAGAAGGAGTACAAAGTAAAGATCAACCCATCCTCCATGTTTGATGTCCATGTGAAGAGGATTCATGAGTACAAGAGGCAGCTTCTGAACTGCCTGCACGTGATCACCATGTACAACCGTGAGTCACCCTGGTACCCCCAATGAGGCCCCAAAGAGGCAGAAAACAGCTAGCTCCACATGGGTGTCACCCCCTCCGCCAACAACCATCTTCCATTCCACCCAATCAATGTTCCATCTTTTGCAGGCATTAAGAAAGACCCAAAAAAGTTATTCGTGCCCAGGACAGTTATAATTGGTGGTAAAGTAAGTGGACTCTATTCCCTGGAGATTTGAGGGAGTGTCCCCTCTCTCTCTCTTTTTTTCTCTCTCCCCCCCTTCCTCCTTTTCTCCCTCTTTCCTTTCTCTCCGTCCACTTCACAAATGGTGTCTCCAGTCAATTTGTTTGCTATTCTTTCCCAAGGCTGCCCCAGGATACCACATGGCCAAAATGATCATAAAGCTGATCACTTCCGTGGCAGAGGTGGTGAACAATGACCCCACGGTTGGCAGCAAGTTGAAAGTCATCTTCTTGGAGAATTACAGAGTATCTCTTGCTGAGAAAGGTACTTCCCTCTTTTGTAAACCATGTGGGATCAGGACAAATGCTAGGGATCCCATTGGATAGAGAATGGGTTAACTGACCTCAGGGAGGTAGGAACTTTAGCTAGAAGGTGTCACTGTTGGGAAAAATAACACAGGAGCTTTTGGGGCTTAAACTAAAGGCCTGGATACTGTCTTTAAGCTTCTTTTGCTCAAGGTTAGTGCTCTACCACTTGAGCCACACCTCCACTTCCAACTTTTTTGGTAGTGGAGATAAGAGTTGCACAGATTTTACTGCCTGAGAGAGTAGTTACAGATGTGAGCTACTAAGGCCTGGCTTGCTTTTTTTTTAGTTCCTTTTTTCTTTATAATACTGGGGATTAAACTCAAGGCTAAGCACCTGTAAGCAAATACTCTACCATGAGCTCTTCCTCCAGCCCTTTTGCTTTTAGCTTTTTTTTTTTTGTAGATCGTCTTGGGCTAGCATTTCCTGGGCTAGCCTTTTTTATCTTCCTGTCCATCTTCTGAGTAGTTCAGATTATAGGTATGAGCCACCATGTTCACATCAAGGCAGGAGTTTTGTTGTTTTAGTTAGTTAGCAATTATGGTGTTTGAACTCAGAGGCTTGCACTTGCTAACCAGGTGCCCTACCACTTGAGCCAAACTCCATACCTTGCTTTTCGCTGGCTATTTTTGAGATAGTCTCATTTCCTACCCGAGTATGTATTTAAGTTGAGATCCTCCTTCTTTCCATCGCTGCTAGGATCACAGAAGTGAGCAACTATATCTAGCCTCCCTCCAGAAATGGCGTCTTACAGATGTTTTGCTTATACCAACCTAGAACTATGATTCTCCCATTCTCAATCTCCTGTGTAGCTTGGGATGACAGTCACCCATCACTGCATCTAGCTATTGGTGGAGAAGAGGTCTTACAAACTTGTGCCTGGTTTAGAATCAAGCTTTGATCTTCTCACTGTCAACCTACCATGAGCCACTGGCACCCTGATTCAAGGCAGGAGCTTTTTCAGATGACCCAAGTGACAATTATACTGATGTTCCCATAGATAATAATATAGCATTACTTTTACAATCTGTAGAGAGCTGGTATTAGAGACTGCCTGAGCCTTTGGCCTAGTGTGGACCTTGCTCTATAAAGGGGAGCAAAACTCCCAGCTGAGTTTGGCAAAAAGAACACCAGCTCCCCAACTCTAAGATATCCATTTGGTCTCTATGTAGGAGGAAGAGCTTATTGACCTTGTGACAGGGAATGAGGGCAGACATCAGGCTGCTGAAATGCAAGTCTTAGATGCACCTCAGCTGGGCACTGCATGATCAAACACAGTATTCCCACCTGGGAACAGGCTGGCAGGAAGCCCATGTCCCTTTCTTTCCTACTGGGACTTGTGATTATTTGCATCACATGCTGGCAGAATACCATCCACATGCTAATGCCAACTGTGCATTCACCTACTTCTCAGGTTGAAAAGATACAAAGGGAGCTTTCTCTTTTATGGGTGCTTCTAGGGCCCCTGAGGTTACTGTTCAAGAACTTGCTGCCCAGAGAGAAAAGAGCCAGGTTCCTGCATGTGCAAATGAATAGATAAATAATCCATGAATATGTTCTTCTAATAAAGCTGAGATTGAGCCGGGTGCCAGTGGCTCATGCCTGTAATCCTGGCTACTCAGGAGGTTGCAATCTGAAGATTGCAGTTTGAAGCCAGTCCATGCAAGAAATCTCTAAGGTTCTTAGCTCCACTTAACCAACAAAAATAATAGAAGTGTAGCTCAAGTGGTGAAGTGCCAACCTGGAGCCAAAAAGCTAAGAATTCAGGCCTCAGGACCAGCATGAAAGGGGTGTGGGGTAGAAGGAAGGAAGGCAGGAAGGAAAGGAAAAAGAGATGTTGAGAGGGAAGGAGGGATGGAGGGAACTGAGATTGGTCCTGACCCCTATGATCAAAGGGTTGGGGGTTCTGGCAGCTCTTGTTGTGTAAATCATGCCTAGAGGTCAGAACTTGATATCTGGCTACATGTCCATTGCATTTGTATGTGGTTTATTTCTCTTCAGTGGAAGTAGAAGGAGGGAGGTGAGAAATGGCAAGCCATTCTGCAAAAGAGAGGTCAGGAGAGAGGTCAGAAATTTCAAGGACCAAGAAAAAGAAGTTGCAATGTATTTTATATAGCTAAAGAAATAAAAATATAACAACAATAGGAGAGAAGGAAAGGTGGAAAAAGAACTGTAGCATCACCATTTATAGCTCAGTCAATAGACTTTTTTAAAAGTTTTTAGACCAAGAAAGAGTATCATAAGCATGTGGCAAGGTTCTGTAGCACAACACAAATGGGCGCTTTTAGAAGTGGTCACCAACACTAAGGAGAAAGAGTGGGCTGTGTCCTCCACCATTCAAATATTTATCTTGATTGCATGGGTTAGTGGAAAGGTAAATGCTAGATTAATGGTGAGGGCAGTGAGGTAAATACTCAGCTACAATAGAATATCTAGACACAGGACACCATCGCTGACATTAGCATATCATTAGTCATTCCAGCCACGGATCTGTCGGAGCAGATCTCCACTGCAGGCACTGAAGCCTCCGGAACAGGCAATATGAAGTTCATGCTGAATGGAGCACTGACCATTGGGACCATGGATGGAGCCAATGTGGAAATGGCAGAAGAAGCTGGGGAAGAGAACCTGTTCATCTTTGGCATGAGGGTAGATGATGTGGCTGCTTTGGACAAGAAAGGGTAAGCTAGCAACTTCTCTTTGTTAAGCAAGGGAAGGGAATGCAAGCTCCAAGGACTTCTTGCCCACACAGGAAGTCTCCATGAAGACTGGCTTACATGCGATGTGGCAACAGGACATCTCCCTTAATAAGGAGTCCAGGGAGGCCTGACCACACATTATACTGTTAGGAAACTGTAGTTGATGCTACAGTTCTTTTCCGCCCTTTCTTATCTCCAAGTAAAAATAAGGGGAGTTTAGGCACAGGTACATGTTTCAGAGGATGTTGAAAATATTTCCTGATCATTAGAAAGAAATTTCACTCGGTAGCAACAAATTTCAAGAATCTATGGATCTATAAAAGTAACTTAGTCTCCTTTAAAAAAAAAAAACTAGTCTTCTTAATACAATGTTTGTTTAGAGCCACAAAGTCTTGCTATTCTACTAGATTGGACTATTGCTCTGTGATGAGAATTTTCATTATCTACTACTTTCAGAGTATTTGGTTACAAGAAATGAATCAAATTTAGGGAGATACAAACCCCTTCAGGATCTAGTAAACAATATTATTTGTACTTGCATTGACACTTGGTAATGACTCTGGTTAATGCTAGCATTTCTGAATGCATTTTTAGAGCTAATGCAGTATCTACGTAGTGTGACGTTAATGATCCACACTAACAAAGCTTTTTTTCATCTCCTGACACCCCCCCCCCCGACCCCTTTGCAGGTACAAGGCAAAAGAATATTACGAGGCACTTCCTGAATTGAAGCTGGTCATTGATCAAATTGACAATGGTTTCTTTTCTCCTGAGCAGCCTGACCTCTTCAAAGACATCATCGACATGCTATTTTATCATGACAGGTGAGTTCCCACCAGCAGATGGCTTGGGTTATGAAAAAGAACATCTTAAACCAACTAAAACCCATAAGCATAGATAAGTGATCCAGTCACAGCTTGGGGAAAAAGTCTCCACCAACATGGCCAGATAGATTTAGTAAGAATCTCAAACCTGGTGTTCTTTTTCTACTTCCACTGATACTTTAAAATGCATCCATCTAATGATGGTTTTATATGTTGGAAGAATCATAAAAAGGTGGGGGTGGGGGAGAGCAGAAATAAGAATTTGATAAACTAGCCATGCCTCACCCCCTTAAGCAAAAGAGAATTTTAAGTGGAATCTACATATGCATCTGTTAATATAGTTTTCTGTTTTGTTTGTTTGTTTCCTCCTAACCACAAAAAAACAACAGGTTTAAAGTATTTGCAGATTATGAAGCCTATGTCAAATGTCAAGAGAAAGTCAGTCAGCTATACATGGTAAGTTGTAGAGCTTTATAAGGGAATCTTGTGTATTATGGCTAATTAAAAATGGCTGGGAATGTGGCTTAGTGGTAGGGGTACTTGCCCAGCCTGTATGAAGCCCTGGTTTCAATTCCTCAGTACTACATAAACAAAGCCGCAAGTGGTGCTGTGGCTCAAGTGGTAGAGCACTAGCCTTGAGCAAACATGTTAAAGGACAGCACCCAGACCCTGAGTTCAAGCCCCAGGACTGGCATTTAAAAAAAAAAAACTTGCTTCTTTTTATTAAATCTAATTAACAAGGTCACACTGACCAGTTAAAAGGGGGAAACTGAGGGCTGGAATGTAGTTTAGTGGCAAATCACTTTACTAGCAACTGTGATGTCCTGGGTTTGACCCCAGAACCAAAAGAGAAGAGACAAAAACATGCAAGACAGGGGAAGGGAACTAGGATTGGATTCGGTGTAGTATAACACACATCCAGCATGTGTGTAGCCCTCTCTAGTTTAGAGAAAGGTGAATGCTTGAGATTATAATTCCATATTAAGCACCTACCATGTAAGCTCAGGATACAAACCCTCAGGGAGGATTGAGGTCTTTCTTCATGACAGGCCTGCTCTGGCCACTGAGAAAACATTATGGAGAAATTCAAGGTCCTTTCTCCTACCCTTAAATAGCCATTAGTGCCAGGGTTCTTTTTTTGGTTAGTACTGGACTTGAACTTAGGAAACTTGTTCTCACTTGGTTTGTTTGCTCAGCTGGTGTTCTACATCTTGAGCCAAACCTCCAGCCCTGCTATTTTTGATGTTTAAAGGACAGGAAAACAAAAAGAAAAACTGAAAAAGAAAAGCTAGAGCCATGTGACTAGCCTTCACATGAAAAATGAATCCTTGTTTGGAAAGAGGTGGAAAGGTTGGTCATCTCTGAACAGGAAATCTTTAGTAATTGCAGATTTCCCAGAGGAGTGGATAGAGGGCTAGCTCTGCCAAGACTCCAGGGAGGGCTTTACCTAAGTGTATAGACCAGAGTAAGTTCAAGTAAATGGCCCATCATCTGCTTCCTGAATGGAAAGAGCCACATACAGCTCCAAAACCTCAGAGGAAAGAGAACAACCCTCTCAAGAAATATAAATAGCAGGGCACTGGTGGCTTAACACCTGCCATCCTAGTTACTCAAGAAGCAAGCAGAGGTCTGAAGATCGAAGTCAAAGCCAATGCTAGAATGAACAAATCTCCAATTAACCAGAAAAATCCTGGAAGGAAGTATGGGTCAAAAAAGCCAAGCAAGAGCATAAGGTCCTAAATTCAAGTCCCAGTACTGGCAAAAAAGAGGGGGGGGGACAATAAATAAATCAGAGCAGGAAAGGAAAACATTGACAAGGAAAAGACAAATGTGAATTTCAGTTTTGCACAGTGGATCTCTGTCAAAATTATACCCAAAGCCAGCTGTGGTACTACATGTTTGTAATCCCACAGTTTGGAAAGTAGGAGAACCATGAGGCTATTCCACGCAATTTCAGTGAAACCCTGCTTCAAAGGGAAAATAATTATAATGGTCATGGTGATGTATGCCTTTAATCACAACTACTTAGGAAGAGGAGGTAGGAGGATCACAAATTCAAGACTAGCCTTTTGAAGGCAGCAGTAAGACTGAAAATCAAAAGAAAAAAACTCTGGAGCTATAGTTCAAGAAGTAGAGCACCTACCTAGCATGTATAAGTCTTTGAGTTTAATCACAAGCACTGGAAAAAAAAAAGTTATGGCCCAGATCCAAAAGAGGCCCATCTTGAAGTCCAACATTTGATTCAATCTTACTTGTTCATTAGTGCAAATTGTAGTTTTCTGCTCTTAACAAGAACTGTATTGTTGAGGCCTGATAAACATGATCAGCATGGCTGGGAAGTCTATTCATGATCTGATCTGTGAAGATCAGAAGAAAAAAAGGAAGATGGGAAGCCTTCATTCCATCTCATTATAGTGAGTTAGTAAGTTTCCAAAATCAGAATGAATTAATTGCATACTGTTTAGCAGTAGCTTAAGGTATAATGGTAGTTTTAGTCTTTCTTTTAAATGCTTTTAAGTCAGTTAACAACTTTGAATAACTTCCAGTGAACTTTCAGAGTTCTTTACAATGATAAGGATATAGACTAAATGTCTTTATATTCTGTGTTTGTGTATCAGTGTCAATAACAGGGCTTAACTCAGGGCCCTGAAATCTCATTTAGGTTTCTTGTGCATGGCTAGTACTCTACCACTTGAGCGACACCTTCAGTCCATATTTTTGCTGGTAAATTGGAGGTGGAATCTCAAGGGCTTTTCTGCCAGGGCTGATTTTGTTTTGGGTATTTTTTTAACTGTATTTTTTTTGTCTTTTCTTTTTTGGTACTGGGGATCGAACCCAGGACGTTGCACTTGCTAGGCAAGCACTTTGCCACTGAGCTACATCCCAGCCCTGCCAGGGCTGATTTTGAACCACAATCTTTCAGGTTTCAACCTCCTGAGTAGCTATAATTATAGGCATGACCCACTTGGCACCTTAGCTTGTCTTCTTTCACATAAAATTATGAGATTTTGCTGGGCACCAGTGGCTCACATCCTGTAATACTAGATATTTAGGAGGCTACAATTTGAGGTGCTAGGTTCAAAGCCAGCCTGAGTGAACAAAATCCTTGAGACTCTTGACATGATACCTTACAGACATTGAATGTTTATTTCCTCCTCCTTTATTCACAATAGAATGCAGGAAACATGGCTTCCAGGCCAAAACATTGTAACCCTACAGGAGTTAACCAGTTAGAGGGGTTAGGTCCACAGTTATTTATCAAGTAAAAACTACTTCATGTCTTTCCTATAGAGAAATATACTCTGAATATGAACAAAAATACAGTCTTCCTCCCTATCTGTCCATCAAGTGTGTTTGTAAGTCACTGTCACTAGGTCCTGTCATTTCCCCATAGCCTGTAATTGGCCTGCTGTTTATATGGGCTTCACATGAATATTATCATTTACAGAACCAAAAAGCCTGGAACAGGATGGTACTCAAAAACATAGCTGCCTCGGGAAAATTCTCCAGTGACCGGACAATTAAGGAATATGCTAGGGATATCTGGAACATGGAACCTTCAGATCTAAAGATTTCCTTGTCTGGTGAAGCCAGCAATGGAGTGAGCAAGGCCAATGGAAATTGAATTATGAGCTGTCACTGGGGGGCGGGGGGGGAAGCTTTTATTGAACTGGAATATTTTAAATAATATTCATTGATTTTATTTTGTTTAGTTAACTAATGGTTAAGTATCTCTGGGAATGGGAAGGGGAAGAGTATGGCTGTATTTAGTACTGGAAATAAAGTGTCAGTTTTCAAGGATTACAGGAGTACCCAATTTATTCCTTTATAATGGATCAGCATCCTGCTAGAAAGTTAGAAACCTGCTGACTTTTGTGTATATGTCAGTACTGCATCTTAAACTGGGATTTTTCCTCTCAAGCTGGCACTCTACCACTTGAGCCACAACTCCATTTCCTACTTTTTGTTAGTTAATTGGAGATCAGACTTTTCTGCCTGCACTGACTTCAACCTTTATCCTCAGATCTCAGCCCCATGAGTAGCTCAGATAAATTCTTTTTTTTTTTTTTTTTT